TTTGACAAGCAACATGTTTTTAAAGAATCCTCATGAACGGTGAACAATATACATGCTTCCAAGTGGGACTGATACCATTTCACAGCAGTGGTTAGAGGATGCTGTAAAGATATCACCACTGCTTTAAGAGCAACCTTCCATTTACCGGTTCCTTTGTGGTGTCAGAGAAAAGTAGCCTGTTCTTTTTTAGACCTTCCTTGGGTATTAAATGATATTAAAGTCAATGGCAAGTCCGCCTCCTGGTTTGTCCAATGTCTTTTAAAGACCTTCATTTGTCTCACCTTCCCCAGGACAGCTGCCACCTGTTACCACTGAGGTCCTCCTGTGATTTATCTGTACATAAAGTTAGAGTCCTGCTCTGTAGCAAGTATCATATTTGTTCACTGTCACTTTTACTTGGTTTTAAAGTAGATCCACCAAATGTGTTGGGGGGAAACAGAAAGGTGAAAAGATATGTTCTCAAGTCCTCCCCTTTGTGAATGAGCAGAGGTGCCACGGCAGAGAGAAAATCATCTAGGACAAGGAGCATGCTAACAGCTGTGGCCTCCCTACTTGGAGCTGAGTTATTAAGGGCAGTACCCACAGGATAAAGTTGTCATTTCAGTACTGGTTCTCCTGAGGGTTCATGTTATAGAAAAACAAAAACAAAAATATAAAGATGCCCCCAATGCACTGCTCCTCATGACTGAAGATCCTGCACACGGTAGAACCACAGATGAATAACAGACATGAATTGGAACACATTTTAGAAAAACCCAAGGCAGGCTTGTCTTCTTTATGAAGGACAAAATCAAAATCTACAGAACCCAGCGCAATGCCCAAGGTCACATAGCCAGTTACTGATGGGACTGGGCATGACTAGATGCTACGGGTAATTTAAAGGGGCCATTAAGTATTTCTCACTCTGATAATGAAGTGCCTTTTAATTTATTATCTTTTGGATGTGTCAGCCTCTCCAAAAGTCAAGAAAAGCAGTGTTGATCTCCTGGAATTGTTATATGGCCATGAGTTTGAATTTTCAAAGCAGGAAATCACAGGATTTTCTATCCAGCAGAGTCAGGGGGACAGAAGAAGAAGAGAGTGACAGGACCTGTTGTTTAGGATTGTATGTCCAGGTGGAGGGGAAAAAAAAGGAGGGTGAGGAGTATCCAGCTTTAAAATTGCTCCCCCCCCTTCTAAACAGCCCCGGTGATTAAAAAATATATTTTATTCCTCCTATACTGTGACACTACAATAGTAAACTATTCCCACTGAAATTTTAACAATGGCCCATTGAACATTTTAGAAATAGGATATCAACTCGGGGGAATATCTTAGAACGTAAGAATGTACAGGTATAATTATTTGGTTGTTGCTGCAAATCTTGAATAGTAGATGCATCTGTTCCTAATGTACCCATTATAATCATTCTAGACTTAGCACTGCCACCTGCAGCATCCAGCACAGAAATATACTACCATTTAAATGGTTTCATCTGTATGCCATGAAAAGTTTAGCATTAACTTCAATAATTTAAACATTGACAAAGCAGCCCTTTCTTTTTTGCAAAAAATGCATAATTTTTAATTTTTTTCACATTTTAATTAGTGAAGCTGCGGTTGTCATGTGTGACTTCTCACATAAAGAAACTATCTATGATCAAGTCCATTAGCTCCCAAGTCAGACAGCATTACAACCACAAACCACAACCTCCCACCGTTCCCTGGCCTAAATATGCAGGCAGGGGCCCTGGAAATGAACCACACAGCCTGCAGTGAGCCTCTGGTTATCAGAGGCTGTGTGAAAACTTCGCTAACTGGATTATAGGATCAATTTCAACTAAGCACCAATAACCTGTGTGGTGGATAAAATAAAAGGGGGAATCATAGTTTATAGTTAGCTAGAAGCAGCCTATACCAATTAAAAAAGAAAAAAAAAGTGATAAAGTACAGCCCTTCTGAGCTCTTTATATAATAACAAAGTGGCAGGATTATATGTGAAGGGTTTTTCCTTGATACTCTTCCAACATACCTTAGCTGTATCAACTTTAATGTTTCATTTACCCTTGCATTTACACTGAGCCAGGTATGGTTTATGTGACTTCACTGAAAGGCACCATGTCTCAATAAGCACTCTGCAAAAACAGTCAAAGAGAAATTCTCCCAGAACAGAAGTCTATGGCATAATCTGAAGTGAATGTGCAGACAGATGTCTGCATATTCATTTGCACTGATCATTTGCTCAGTGAGGATTCTTGCAGAAGTTCAAGGGGGATTGATGTTGGTTGGGGCATCTTCCTGCAAAACCAACAAATTCCCAGAGGAGGCACCCGAGGACCAAGGACCGCTGCTTACAGCTAAATCTGCTGTGCCTGTCAGAGGCTGGATGGTCACAGGACTCTGATCACAGGCTTTCCTTCCTTGTCTTCAGCCCCCCTGTATCACCCCACTTAAAAGCAACTGATTCCTTCAAGCCAAGGACTCACTTTGCCATCAAATAACATTTATTCATTATGTTAGAGGTTTCTGAAATCCCCAGTTAAACTAAGGAAGCCTTCTGAGCAAGAGAAAAAAACATTTTTGTGTGTGAGAACCATGATGTGACACAAACCACCAATGCAATAAAAACAACACTTGACAAAATCCAGGAAGGCTGAAATCACTCAGGCATACACATTCATAACACTGAACAATTTATGGGTTCAGTGCTTTAGAAAAGCTTTCTACAAAATCTAAGAAAGCATGTGACTGGACACACAGATGTATTCACGTCCTCAAATCAGGAAACATTCTGAGAAGTTTACAGCAGCTCTGCCCTCAAAAAAAAAAGGGGGGGGGGAGGAAAAAAAGCCACAAAAATAAGAGCGCGCGCGCACACACACACACACAGAAAACAACAAAACCTTAAAGTGCTGAATGATAGGGAGACCAGCAGACCAGCAAAGACATTATCCCTGAGGAGACATAGTGGGTTGATTTTTAGAACCAGGAAGGTTGAACGGAGGCCAACTCAGTATGCTCTCCACCCTCTCTTCTGCATTGGACAAGAAAAACTAGAGTCAATTCAAGGGTAAACTGCAGTCATACAGATGCTCTCTGGTTCCCCTTCTATAAGAAAGGGAAAAGCTCTGTGCCATTAAATCAATAAAAGTAGGCTTAAGAAGAGTTGTGAGCCTGTCAGCTGATTGTTAACACAATCCTAATGACCTGCTGCAGCCCTTAATTACAATAATATCTCACACTGTGAGTGCACAATGCCCTTTTATTAAAGCTGCAGCCTCCCTGGCTTTGAGCAGGGCGCTGGTCTGCACTATTGATTATTGTTCCCTTTATTTTTCCTCTCACAGACAGACTTTCAGCTAGCCAGACCAGATAAAGACTATTAATGCTGGATGCCACCTAATTGCTCCTGCCACTCTGTTCCACTCACCCACAAGTAAGATTCCCACAAAGTTGCCAGTGTGACTACCTGCCTCAATTCTTTAGAATTTTAATTCGCTCTGTTCCAAGTAGCCCCAAAGACAAAGCGAATGCTTCTCAATGTATCCCCCCTTTATATATGTCACAAGAAAGAACTTGGGTAAATATAAAGTCTAACTAGCTCTTTGGGGAAGTAATTGTTTTGTGAGTGACTAAAAGCTTCCAATGTAATCATCTTCTCCCTTCATTCCCCTGCGCGCCCCCCCCCCGCCCCCTACTAACTTGTCTTTATAAAGACACACTTAAAAACTATTTAGATGTCGCTGGCAGTATATCAATGAAAACTTTCCTTTAAAAAAAAAAAAGGAGAGGGCTGCTACTACCGCCCCCCCCCCCAAAACTCTTTTAAAATACACTTGTTTTGTGATGTTGATATGATTTTTAAAGTGCATTGTTGTCAGCAAGAGCCACAGAATCTCCAGTTAACTGACATTTTTCTATCCCCGGCTTATTTCCCCACCCTCGCCAAAGTTCTGTTTATGTACTTCTGCAGTAAAAATGATCTGAACACCTATCTGGTTCCAAGAAATACGAGAGTGCGTCCAATTTAAAGACCCTTCACTTAACAAATTATCTACTAAAGAGGAGCTTTAAAAAAAAAAATGCGTTTTTAAGTATATCCAAGCTCCAATTTGCCGACCTGCAAAGCTCTGAGACACCTAATCCTCGATGCTTTCTTCACAGGCTCCCATTTGCCCACAGCTGAATGAACTCATTACTAATCTTTACTCACCTGGACAGTATCTAAGACATCCTTAAGGTTAACGATCTAAACGTGCAGCCAACACAGACAACAGGCTCTTTCTCATTAATCCACGCCGAGAGGTCGAATACCAGCAACTAGCGGCACTAAGCAGGTGCACCCGCGGGGAAGTCCACCCGCATTCGGAGCGGCGGGAGGGCGCCCTTTCCCCAAGGCACCCCCAAGGAACCACGGGGCCAGGACGGAGGGGAAAGCAGGACGCCCAGCAGATACACAGTAGCAGCAGAATACTAATGACCGCAAAAAGCCAAGCACTCTTAGATGAGTTCCACCCTCACGGAAGGTAAAAGGAGTTCAAGGATGCAGAAGGACCCCGACACACGCAGACGCACGCCCGCTGCTAGTCCCAGACCGCTGCTGCGGAGCCTAAAGGTGTGGGCAGCGCAGACTTTTGCCCCCATCCGTCCCGGGTCAAAAGGGACCCTCTGGCGTTCCTCTTGGAGAAGAACGGTCTAGGCCGCCTTTATCGCTTCTTCCTCCGGAGCACGCTGGGGTCCGAGCTCACCCTGAACTCGCGGACTGCGTCCTACCTGGTGTCAGGCATCACCGGCTCTGCGGGCCGAGCGCCCTCAGCTCAGTCTGCACGCCCGTCCTGCCTTGGTGCGCAAGTCCCACGGCCACGCACCAGGAACTTGGGGACCCCGGAGAAACTCTATGCGGACACCCCCCCCCCTCCCCCAGCCCGCTTTCCGCTCAATGCAGAGTGGAGCTTCCAAATGCCCACATCGTGCTTCTGCCCGGCAGAGCGGTCCCTGCCCCCGGCACCCAGGCACACTCACCTGGGGCCCCGCCGCCCTCCCGGAGGCATCCGGCACTCGCCACCCACGCCGCCCGGGTGTTCGCATCCGAAAGGGCGAGCGCTCAGCGACCCGGCGCCCGCGGGCGCTCCGGGACCCGGTGAGGGACCCGGTGCGCGCGGCTCCGCGCTCGGGCGGACTGGCGGCGCCCGCTCGGCACACGCTGCGTCCAGGAGGACAGACGCGGGTGTCTGCTCCAATCACAGCCCGCTCCGTGGGGCGCGGGTTCAGAGCCCTGTCCCCGGCCTCCTCCGCTTGCTCTGAGGGGCCCCCGCGGGCTCCCCCGGGAGGCTGGGACCCCGGTTCCGGAGCAGCGGGGCCGCGCGAACGAGAAAGGGAGAGGGGTGGGCGTCGGAGATCCAGGAGGGCGCGGGGGTGGGGGGGGTGGGGGGAGGAGCGGAGCGGGTGATGGTGGTCCGCGTTTTTGCTCCCCTGCTGGCAGCGCCGAGCGCGGCCAGCCCGGGGAGCCACTGAGACTGGGGCACCTACCGGAGACACAGGGAGGGTGGTTAGAAAGGCGGCCGCTCCGCCGCCGGGCGCGCACACACACGCGCGCAGACACGCGCGCCCCTCCTCCGGCGCCCTCCAGACGGATGGAGTTCTTCTCCCTCGCAAGAAAATCCCGAGGAGCTGGGGGAGAGTAGGAGGGGCCGCAGCCCAGCCATTACTCAGCGAGGTATTTGCATCTGAAAGCGCGGAGCTGGAGGGGAGATTTGAGAATTGTTACCAGCACCTTCCTCTCTTCCCCTCCTCTCCTCCCCAAGCTGTCCTGGAAGCCATGATCAATTGAACACCAGAGGCATGAAGGCAAAGTCATAAAACTCATCAGAACTTAACAGTTTTGGTGCGTGATAGTTTTGCCCTTTCAATCTCGTCGGGCTGCTCTAGTTCTGCTCTCCTTACTTGCAGAAAATTTCCTCCCCTGCTAGGTTCTCTAATGCAAAACTTACAAGGTGTACTAGTTAAGCACCCGGTGGAATAGAGACCCCAGGCCAGGTGGGAAAAGGGATCCAGCCAATTATTTGGAACGTGCTGCAGCCGGTGGGGTTCAGCACGCTGTTTTCCTCTGTCTGCCCTGGTGCATGACTTCACCTGGTGGCCAGGTGTTCTGTTGTAGGGGTTAGGAAGATGAGTAGATCATTGCTAAATACATTATTTTTTCTCATCCAGCCAATGGAATTCTCTCTGCTTCTTATCCATCCTTAACAGTGAGTCTTCCCATACCTGCTAGAGGAGCATTGGATTCCTGTCTGCTTTCACCTTCAATCAAGCACACTTGCTCTCCCCCACCTGTCCATTTAGCTTGTGTTTTTTCCTCTCAACTAGTTGGTGTTTAAAACTGAGTTATATACTAATAATTCAGCAGCAGACATTTTTTTTTTAAGTTTCTGTTAAGTTCCACATACCATGCTTCTCTGTGTACTTAACAGTGCTTCAATTGTAAAGTTATATAATCAACTCCAGGTCTGCTTGGATGGTTGCTTAATAGTCCATTTCCACTCAACCATCAGTCATCACCCCAAGTCAGAATGTTTAGAACAGACCTGCTAATCTCTCCTTAGCCATCACCCAGGATTTCACACTATACTTCTCTGAGACACCATCATTCTTCCTTTATACAGACATTGAATCTTGGCTTCATCCCTGAGGCCTTTCACGTGGATTTCCTCTGTTAAAAACCCTCATTTTTTTCTAATTTGCAATCTGTAACTTTACATTTGTCTTGCTTTGTCTAATAATTTTTTTTTTTTTTTTTTTTTTTTTACAATTATTCTGGACTAGAAGCTTCTGGAAGGCAAAGATTGAGATTCAGTATGATCAAGATGCATCACATGTTTGTCCCACAGTAAATATTTGTGGAAGAAGTGAATGTTCATACCCCAGTCAGCAATAACATAATTGAATACAACAACCTTTTGTAACCTGCTCATTGATGGCCTGGCCTTTCCTCAATAAGAAATGGCTTGTGGCCCTAGCTGGTTTGGCTCAGTAGATAGAGCCTCTGCCTGGGGACTGAAAGGTCCTGTGTTCGATTCTGGTCAAGGGCATGTACCTTGGTTGCTGGCACATCCCCAGTGGGGAGTGTGCAAGAGGCAGCTAATCAATGATTCTCTCATCAATGTTTCTAACTCTCTGTCCCTCTCTCTTCCTCTCTGTAAAAAAATCAATAAAATATATTTTTAAAAAATGGCTTGTGACCAGGAATCACAACCATTGATACTATCCCATGTTCATTTACTGGGATTTAAAACACACACACACACACACACACACACACACACACAAAAAAAAAAAAAAAAAAAAAAAAAAAAAAAAAAACAAAAAACACCAAAGGACATCACATCAAAAAGAGGGGGAAAAAATGCAGACTACTACTTGAAAGTTTGTTGGTTATACTTTTCCTCAAATTTTCCACAGTTTCCTCTTCTCATCATATGATTCTGCATAAATGTGTGTCCCCAGTGAGTGTGGGCTTCTGTCTTGAACCAGGTATTCCCATGCTGACTTCCTTCCTTTAAAAAACATTTTTTTCCCCTTAAACCACAACCTTTACATACATTCTTGAAGATCTAGGTCCTATCCACCAGGAGGGCATAGGCAGAAGGCAAGGGGAAAAGGGTAGATGAGTCAGACAGTAACTGGTGGATTCACCTTCATCTGGGGAGGTGATGAAGGTGTATCCACCAGTCACCAATGGTCTCTCTCTGAGAAGATAGCACTTACACTGAGAGATGATGATGGAAATGAGCTGGGGCTGTGAAGACCGGAAGGGAAAATGACCTGGGCAGAATGAACAAGGACAAATGTCTGCAGAAGGAAAGAGTTGAATGTGTCTGAGAAACACCAGTCCTGCATGGGGGGAGGTCAAGGTGGATGGTGGGAGTGGTGGACAAGGAGCAGATGCCGCAGGCCTCTAGGCCTGGAAGATGTTTGTACTTTATTCCTAGGAGAAAGCCCACATTAGGAACAACAAATTAAAAGGAGCTCCACATGATGAGGTATGTGTGATTAGATCCTTTCTTCTCTCCCTTCCTTTTCCTACAATTGTTGGTTGACTAGAAAACCCAGTCTTCTGAGAAAACACAAATAAAAATTACTGTACTACATAAACCCCAAGGTGCTACCAAATGTTTAAGATTCCACGAAATGCAAATGCAAATTATGACAGCATATGCTTACTTATGAAATTTCATAATATTTCCGAATAGTTTTTAAATTTGTTTTAATATTTCTACTCTTATATATAACACTCTTATTAGAATCCCCTCAGCTGAATGTTTTGGTTCATCAGTGTCATAAGCTACTACTGCAGATTTGATGAATGCCCCCCTTTCTTTCCTACAAAAAACAAAAACAAAAAACAAACAAACAAAAAAAACCCCCACTCCATCCCATGTATTTTTATTCTTAATTAAACTAATAAAAGCAGCTGTGGCAGCACTATATTTTTAAGACAGGGGAATCAGAAACGGTAGAACTCTGCCATGGTTGCTGTCAGTGTGGAAGGTTATTTCCCTACATTGTTGTATCTACCAAAGCAGAGTGAGTGTAAGTAAGAAGTTTCTAATGACCTTGCTGGTATTAGATGCCCGATGCATGGAATTCATGCAAGAGTAGGCCTTCCTCCCCCAGGCTGCCTGCACTGGCTTCCCTCTGGCACCTGGGACCCGGGTTTCCCTCACAGCTGTCTAGTCTAATTAGCATGGTATGCTTTTATTATTAGAGGTTATTATAGATGCCCTCTTAATCCAAAACCAGAGATGGGGACTGGGCTTTTGGCAGCCACGGGGCCAAGAGAAGTAACCTTTGAGAACTAAGTCGTTCTAGATATTCTGAGGATCCCTGGGTGGGCAAACAGAGATGTGGCAGAAAGTGCTTACACAAGGCAAGTGCTCAGAAAGTTGGACCATTTATAGTTTCTTGTAAATGTCTCTCTCAACATAAAATTGTAATAATCATAAGAACAGATATTTTCATTATGTTATGCTTAGCATTTTCCTGAGGATGGCTACACTCTCCAAATTATTTTATCTAATTAGGTATGCTTCCATCTTGTAGAAAAGAAAGGATTTAGATTTCCAGGTTCCAGTCACTAACTTGGAAAATATTAACTGAACCCCTGTTGTTCAATCCTTAGACTAAGAGGTGGGAACACGAGAATGAATAAAATATAGCTCTTGTCTTCAGGAATCTTTTCATTTGTTGGGAGAACAAGGAGGTGGGTACATCTGCACACACCATGCCCATTGTGACGAGGAGTGGGCAAAATGTCAAGTGTGGGAGCACACAAAGAGGCCACATGGTGCACAGTGTTGAATGGGAGGAGAAAATGTGTGGAATGTGCCCCGAGGATGCTGGGGTACCACAAGGAGTTTTATGAAGGGCCGTTGCAATCATAACTGCGGTGGACAAAGAAACACCCTGGCGGCCTTTCTTCTTCTCCTTGGTCTGGGAGTGAGGAGAGTTAAGGAAGTTATTGCAGAAATCCGAGGGAGAAAACTGGCCTGGACTCCAGCTGTGGCACTAATGTAGGAAAATCTCTTGGAAGTAAACAGAAAATATAAGTAGATTTAATGATTTATTCTCTACACTCATCAATAATTGGTCATAAATGAACACTAATAGAAGACAGATCAACATCATGGAATCACCCCCCCTGCCATATCCCTTGGGTAACTGTGCCCTTCACTGAATAATAGAAGGAAATACTGCAAAATGTGAGGAAAATATACCCATTTTGCTGCCCAGGGTGTTCTCAAAAGCTCGTTTCATGATGAAAAAAAAAAAAAAAAAAAAAAAAATCCATCTGTCCAAGAATGAGTACTTACTTGGAGATTATAATTTTCAGTTGAAGGGCCCTGAAGATATTCACAGAATAAGGTCACTCCTGAGACATCACCAAATGTGTGGTGTCTAAAAATGAAGGGTGTCTAAAAGGGGTTCTCAGGAATTCTCTCCTTAGAAGTTTAACAGGTGAGGAAGAGGGTAACAGGCCATTCAGGAGCCTCAGTCCTTATGCACAAGGACAACAGCACTCAGCAATCCAGGATGAAGGCATGAGCATCCCCAGAGAAGATTCTCTGAGATGTTCAGTCTGTGTCGCCCAAGGTGCCACTTCTACTCTGAGATTCCCAATAGCTTACTCCTCACCTGATGCAAAAACCACAGAAGGAAATGGGAACCAGATTAGGAACCAAAGAACACATAATGGGCTGGAAAGTGAATGTGAAGAATTCATTTTTCCCTCATCTAAGCAAAGGAAGTCCTACTGCCCCCCAATTCCATTCTCCCCCAGATAACCAGGCCTTCTCAGGGCTC